ATATATATATATATATATATATATATATATTGCTTATGTTTGTGTAACTCTGATGTTTTAAGTCCTGCAAGTATTCTTCAGGCAGTTTAATTTAGTTTTATAAACCTGTAATGCAGTATGTATTTCTTGAGAGTAATTGTTGTAAAAGGTATAATACTGTATTATTAAGTTTAATGCAAGAAAATAACTACGATGATACTAGCTGTGTTGTCTCCTGGTTTGTATTCCCATAAATAGTCTTACAGGAAGTTTTGCCATTATATAATTATAGAGAATTAGAGAGTAAAGTATATCAGCATTTTTGTTGTAAGATCACACTGTAGTCGATAGGCTTATGGGTACAGTTTGATGAATGTTTAGGAAGAATGTGCATCATTTTATAGTCATTTGTTATAGCATACATTGCTGAGTTAATGTTGATAGTAGTCAGGAAGATACGTAAGGACACCCTAAGCCATGCAAAAGTTATTCCTAAAGAAATTATTTATTTAGAAATAGAAATCTTAAAATATGCAAATCCTGGAGTATCTCTAGTCACTTGTTACTATACATAACGGAGGTTCACTGCTGTTTTCCAAGTTCTACTTGAAGCTCGATTACGTTATTAAATTTACTTAAATATTGCAGTCACATTTAACTATTACACCAGTGTAGAAAACTTAAAGATTTTACTATAGTTTGTTATAATTCTCTGTATCCAAGAACTCTAAAATGGTTGTGATAATAGACGTCATTTTAACCATCTTGCTTGTAAGTACTATAGTGTTAAAATCACCATTATCTTCTGCTACATCCTCCAGTTATGTTCCTAGTTGTGAGGTAAACAGTAAACCAAGGCTTTTCAATAAAATAAAGTTTGCACACTATCCCCAACTTCAAATTGTGGACCAAAGATTTTGTTTATAATAATGGACACAACTTTTATTGTACCTGATGCTGGTAAGACACTTGCTGCTGGCATCACTTTCCTGGCCACTTATCTAATGCACTCTCTTTAATCTCTCCATCTTTGTCCACTTCTAGCTGTGATATTCAGCGTAAGTTCG